AGTGATGGCCATTCTCACACTATTCTCACGCGATTGGGCAACTGAACGCCGGTGGCGCTGCCTTGATAAGAGCGGAGGGGTGCTGCTATATCGCCCTAACAGTGTTTCTCTAACACATCTGTGTCTCCCACAGACACTTACACTACTGCAGACAGTAAAGTAAGGCAGCTCTCTTCTCAAAGGGTGTTAGTTCTGCATCTCCTGTTCGCTCCACACTTTGACGGTGCGCCGCTGTTCTCCTCTTCACCTGCACCTTCACATCAGACCATTTCTTATTTAATTCAGTCACAGTGTGATGTTCAGACCCCACTGTGTTAACTGTCAGCTGAACTCTCACACTCTATTCATTTTCCTTTTGTTATTGATTCTGTAACACAAACGTGCAAATAACACCGTTTTTCTGTGGTCTACCTCTAGGAGCACCTCACATTCACATTCTGTGAAGTTTCTCCTCTTGCCTGCTTTTGCTGTTGCTTTTATATTTGATTTTGCCAAAGTGGAATCATTAGCATATTCATATGGGGGAGGAGGCAGGGAGGGGTTTAGCGCTCGTGCACGTGTGCTCAGTTTCACATTAATTCAGATGTACACAGAGAATATGTGTGGGATTCAGCGTACGCAGTGTTTCATACATCTGACTTTTACTGCGTACGCACATTTACAGCTTTGTCCGTACGCAATGCTTCAGTATTAATTCAGCACAAGTCTTTGTGCATGAGGCTCCTGCTGTCTCATTTGCTGACACTTCTGCTTCTAGATCAGAATACCTGCAGGTGCAGGAACAGAAAGAGTTTTCATTCTTGGCTGAACTCTGGCTTTAATATTTGCTGAACCTGAAACCCTTCTGCTCCTGAAATGCAGACAGATTTAGATGTTCCTGGAGCTGAAATTAGCTCTGCGTGCTCAACACTCGGGTCTCGAGTAACTCCAGGAGCTGCGCTGTACACTTATTAGAGGAACCCGAGGAAACAGGCCGTACCTGACGTTAAAGAAACAGTTATATTCCCCACAGTTCACAATGCTGGAACAAACGTCATTTAGTTTAACTCAAATGACTAAAACTAAAGGAATACCAAAAAATAAATACAAAAGGTGTGTCATATTTATCCTCGTATAATATACATATTTCAGATTAGTTTTCACCCCTAAAAAACAGGTTTCTAGGTAACAGACTGTATATATTTATACATGGGTAAATACATTATTACCATGTTGTTCATTAATTTTATAACAGTGTGGTTGAACAATCACAAGTTCTATTTTATAGTTAATTTGGAGTTTAACGATCTGCAGCTCTGGAAGCTGTAATGTGTTGCCCGTTTACTCATCCTGAAGAGCTGAGAAATAAAACCACACAAATGACTGAGTAGAGTACATTTTCAGCGCTGTCTGTAACATTACTGCACATTTCATTCAACCTGCAGACAATACTTTATAGTAGAAGTAGAATAATCAGTTCAGCGATGACCATCCTATCAAATCATTCATAGTAGAGTCCGTCTATTTTTATTGTACGGTATAAATGCAGCAAACATGGACAGTGTGAAGAATTAAACCTCAAAATCACCACACAACAAGAGAGACCGTTTAGATCGACTATATCATGACTGAAATCAACAAATGACCTTCAGCAGTCATCGAATGCACTACAGAATGCTCCGTCTGCACACATCTGCATCTCAGCTGCAGGAGCTTGGTTTGTAGCGCCACCTGCTGGACACTCACAGCTGCTCAAATGCAGAATTAGGTAGTTACATAGAAGGTCCACGCAAACATGCGAGTAGAAGTGAATTATCAGCGCGCGGTGCATTTGCCAGGAATGCGGGAATTTGCCTCTATCACGTCGTAGGAAAACTTTGTATGAGGGGAAAAACATCCTGTGAGTAAACCAGAGCGAGTGACGCGGTGCTCCAGTGAGCCGTTCATTAGACAACATCCATCGGGATGCATTTGTGTAGATCAGCAGCTATGCAGCTCTATGCTCTAGATTTGGTGTTTGTTAAAGGGCTGCATGCAGATGAGCATGTTTATTTATGACAGGAGTTATATGTGTAAAACAGTTTTTGCTCAAACTTTTGTTTTTGCCAAGAGCTTTCTGATTGTTTGCGAGTCCAGTGATTCTTTGTTTGCAAAATGCTGAATTTTTGTGTGAAAATTTTGTGGCACACACACTCACCGGCCACTTTATTAGGTACACCTTACTAGTACCGTGTTAGACCCACTTTCACCTTCAGAACTGCCTTAATCCTTCATGGTGTAGATTCATCAAGCTACTGGAGATATTCCTCAGAGATTTTGCTCCATATTGTCATGATAGCATCACACAGTTGCTGCAGATTTGTCGGCTGCACATCCATGATGCCAATCTCCCGTTCCACCACATCCCAAAGCTGCTCTATTGGATTGAGCTCTGGTGACTGTGGAGGCCATTTGAGTGATGAACTGTCCACATGCCTAAATGCATTGAGTTGCTGCCATGTGATTGGCTGATTAGGAATGTGTGTTAGTGAGCAGTTGGCCAGGTGTGCCTGATGAAGTGTATTTTGCTCCTCACTCACTCCTCTTGAGTACTTTCAGAAGAGCTGCTTTACTCGTATTTCAGTAGGTTTTACTCTGCTTGCTCTACACTTTTTGCCAAGAGCGGTCCCTTTACTCGAGCTGGTTTATCAGGACACTGTTAATAATAATGAATCTCACCGATTCCTGCCGGATGATGGACTGGAAGCAGTGAATTGTACCGCGGTATAAGGGCTTGTCCACACTCTGCACCTGCAGCCGCACCTGAAAACACAGATTATCCATGAGATGATGAATAAAGATCAGAATCAGTCCAGGAGAAGCACATCATCAGTGTAGAGCTGCAGATATTTGACCTCTGGACAACATCTAGAGCAGGTGTTCACCTGGTCTTTACTTACTATGTGTACCACCATGGTGCAGGCGGTGTAAAAGCCTCACGCTCATCTACAACACACAACACTTCTGCTGTAAAACACCCTGCGCTGTGTATGAGGATCAGCTGAGGGCAGCAGACCACACACACACACACACACACACACACACACACACACTACTGTGAGTGTGTTTATCAGCCGCTCCGTGTCTTGTCTGCTGCCCTTAGGTCTCACACACACACACATTCTGAGCTGAAGAACCGTGTTAGTTGTCCTGCTACGACACACAGGTTATCCACACACACACACACATGCGAGAGCAGCTCAGTGTACCACACACTCCTGCAGAGTTCAGCTTTCTGATGATTCTCAGGTGTGTGTTTTTCACATGAAGCTAAATACTACTGAAGTGTCTTGAAAATGAGCATCGTCTCTTCAGTTATTAAAAACCATTATGCGTAGAAATGTGCTGAAAACAGTGTCGACATATAAGATCACTTTAAGAATGTCTTCAGTTTAAAGCTGCACTGAACTGTTCAAAGCTGCTTTTGGCCACACTCAGTCTCAAAACACACTTGCAGCCAATCAGCAGTAAGGGGGCGTGGCCATATAGTAGAGATTTAAATGAGTAGTGGCTGAGACATGGGAACAGTCAAAGAGCATAGAATGAGCAAGAGGCGACACTCTAGTGTGATTTGGGAAACAGCCACTAGATGCCGCTAGTGTCACGCGGCGGCCATTACAGAATGAAAACTCCAATAGAACAGCAGCTTATTATAAAGTCTGTAAAATAAAGTATTAAAGTGCTGATGATTGTGAAAGTGTTGTATTGTCGTCTTTCAGGCTGTCTCTCAGCTTTAATGCGCTTTTTAAATAAATAAATAGAAAATAAAGCAGCGGCTTGCATCACGACAGCAATAAGATCCAATGGACGACTGATCGCTTTCACTCCGCAATGGCTGAATCGCGGGGCTGTCGCTGGGCGCTGCTGCTGCACAGAGCACTTGAGTGTCGCCTCTTGGTCATTCTAAGCTCTTTTAAAACAGTCAAAGACTCTATAACGCACAAGACGTGTCACTCCTATACTTCTGAATGGGGAAGAGTGTAACTGTTAATATGGCGAATGAAGCCCCGCCTTCTAGTACAGGAGCCAATCAGAGATTGCTATAGAATGGCAATTCTCCAGGGGAGGGGCTCGGACCAGACGTGTTTCTGCAGATTTTGTGTGATACAGACATTTAGAAATGAAACTAGAAAGACAGCTGTTGTTTCTTTTTATACGATCACTAAAACAGACGGGATGACATGATCAGGGCGGAGATTATGGAGTTCAGCTGGACGTACCTTCACTGTGTCAAACGGGTGTCCAACCAGCACACCTGCGGCTCCTGCAACACACACACACACACACACACACACACACACACACACACACACACACACACACACACACACACACACTCTTATCCACAGTTCACATTTGATCAGTTCCAGCAGAATCAACAGTTCAGGATGATGCAACTGTTCTCCAGCCTTGACCTGAAACACCAGCGCCAAACACACACACACACACACACACAGACACACACACACACACACAACACATAACTCTCCAGAACACACACACACAGTCACTGAGTTCTGGCACTGTTTCCCCTGCGTCGTTTGTTTGGTTTGGGCAGGTGTTCAGGCGGTCAGTCGTACTCAGGTGTGCACCCAAAGCTTTCAGACAAACCCTGGAGCGTTTGGTTCACTCATGGTGAGATCGAGAACTGACCCAAATGCAAAAGTACTTCTCTTTTTTTAGACTAAACCAGCCGCCGTAATAATAATATTAATTCCTTACATTTCTATAGCGCTTTTCTGGGAACTCAAGGTGCGTTACACACACAATCATCCACCACCAGAGTGCAGCATCCACCTGGATGACGTGACGGCAGCCATATTGCGCCAGACCACACACACACACACACACACACACCAGTATACTGTGACGTGCTTTCTGGGCTGAGAACTTTTTGCTGCATCCCAATGAAAACGGGAGTGTGTTGCAGTGCATTCTGGGTATTTAGGACAAAGGAGTCTGATTCCTGTTGATCTGTATTGATTAATTGTGTCATACACACACTCATCAGCAAGAAGCTGTAAGCAGTCGCACTACACACAATGAAGAAATCCTCTCTGAGCTGTTTTCATGCTGCAGCTCATTGATGTGCTGTCAGCGACAGATGAACTCCTTCCTCAGATCCGTTCCTCTGCGTCAGTGCTCGGACACACAAAGAGCCTTTGTAAAGCTCTACACATCATAAATGTACACATTAGTTCATTTTAAGCTGCGGTCATGCTGGACTTTTCTCCCCATAGACTTCCATTCATACACGCGAATGTGTCAAACTCAGGGCCGGCGCGTCCATAGAGGTGACCTAGGCAGCCGCCTAGGCCAGCAAAATAGAGAGGGCAGTGTCCCCGACTCTACCCTCACCACCTGCACCCTCAGTTATATCCGCGACTAAGAGAGAGGGCGCTGTCCGCGACATTACCCTCACCACCTGCACCCTCAGTTATATCCGCGACTGATTGAGTGGGTGGTGTCCGCGACACTACCCTCTCCACCTGCACCCTCAGTTATATCCGAGACTAAGAGAGAGGGCGGTGTCTGCGACACTACCCTCACCACTCGTGCCCTCAGTTATATTCGAGACTAAGAGAGAGGGCGGTGTCCGCGACACTACCCTAACCACTCGCGCCCTCCGCCCCCTCAGTTATATCCGCCTCTAGGGCGGCAGAATAGAGAGGGCGGTGTCCGTGACACTACCCTCACCACCTGCACCCTCAGTTATATCCGCGACTAAGAGAGTGGGTGCTGTCCGCGACACTACCCTTTACCACCTGCACCCTCAGTTATATCCGAGACTAAAAGAGAGGGCGGTGTCCGCGACACTACCCTCTCCACCTGCACCCTCAGTTATATCCG